TTTATCCTAGGTCAAGCAAACGAGGCGCGTTATCTATAAGAGACTAACTTAAGAATTTAATTCCGTGTTAAAGAAAGAGAAGATTTATATTTAGCTTTACTAAACGTAAGAAAACGTATTGAGAAGATACGATGATTGCCAGCTCTGCGTTTCTATTTAATCGTAACGTACGAACATTGATACTTAAGCTTAATTGAAATTTGGAAACGTTTAATGGTCTTAAATATACAAAATTAGTTTTATATATTATGAAACAACAACAAAAAAGTTATTAGAACGAACGAGCTTGTAATAAATTGTCGTTTAAAGATAAGTGATATGTTAAGAACAAGAAAAACTTAAAGTAATTGGGAGCAGGGTCAGGTTATTGGAGAAATTGTATCGTCGTGTTTATACTTGGATAAAAACACTGGTAAAACGAGAGATACGGCACAATTGTTTCTGATTAAAATCAAACTATAATTGCAAGTTGAAGAATTCCAATGAAATGCATAAGAAAAAAAGAAAAAAATTATCATCGTCATCGACATGAATAATTAAAAACGGCCATGTAATAAAACCATCAGTTAGAATCAATCGTTAAATACAAAATTTATTAACTATTATTTTTTTAATTATTATTTTATATTGTCGTCGATTATATATATATATATATATATATATATATATATATATAATATTATATATATATATATATACATATCGGATATATGTATGTCAAATTTTTTCTTCGAACTCTTTGATCCGATACAAAAAAAAACTTTTTTTTCTCTTTGTTACGTAATTATATTTATTTTATAAGAAAGGAAAAGTAAAGAAGAAGAAAAGAAAAAAAAGACAAAGTACGTAACGTAAGTAGTAGGTCAGGCATATAGCCGCAAGAGGTCAGTGTATGTGTAAAGATACGAACAATGTAGTGATGTGCGTATATAATAAGTATAACTTAAGTATGGTTGAATTTTTCGCCACGTGTGTAGTGCATAATTCAAAAGTTATAATGTAATGTTATAGATAATTATATATATATATATATCTTTTTGTAACTTTTTATTCAATATGCCATTGGCTAGTTCTCTTTCTTTTTCTTTTTTTTTTTTTTATTATTATTATTATTATCATAAAAATAGATCAATATGCGAAGAAAAAAAATAGCGGACTGTTACAATATATTCTCGAAAATGAGATTTGTCAATGGTTTTTTTTTCTTTTTCTTTTTTTTTTCTTTTTGTTTCTGTTTTTTAAAAGACAATTAAAATTGTTAATGAAAGAGAAACGCCTTAAACAGTGATTCATCAGTGCATTCCATGAATTTTTATGTGCGAGTAAAGTATTCGTTAAGATATAAAGACAATCGGCTTTGATATTGGTTAAATTGAAATGAAACAACTAATGCAACTGCTTACAAATTGGAGATTACTGAAATGGAATGGATGGATATGGGAAACATGATACAAGTTTTATGGCACTCTTTTAAGTAATAATTACTATTTTATACAATGAACTAAAGTCGACTTTATCGATAGTGAAAGGGTGATTATTAAGCTTGCTATTAATGACCTCTTGCATAAAGATGATTTACGTTATAAGAATTTTTATATCAATGAACATATTTCTTTAATAAAAATAAAATCTTTTCTAAAAGAATGAAAATAAATTTGCGTGACGTGTGCTAGCCGTCGACAGTTATCCTTTGATAAATTTAAAATATAAATATCTTTGTATATTATGAAAAAATTAAATGGCAAATAAAATATATATTGTGATATATACATATATATAGATTGTAATGTATAATAATGATTAATTTATTGTTTGTAAATAATTTTACTCGATACATGCAGGTTTTTGTTCCATAAATAAATTCAATTGTTGACACGTGAAGAATATTTTAGAGATAATCTTTCTACATTTATGTACGTTACACAATATACTTAAACTGGTATGGCTAGTATTAAGTTTTATCGCAATTCATATGCATTTGTAATATAATAATGTATTTCTTTATTAATTGTGCAAACATAAAACAAAAATCATCATAACTATCCTTCAAGGCCCTGCAAGTTGTCATTAAATAAATATACTTAAATATTTTGATATTGGCTAATATTGATTTGAATAACTCCTAACTAATACGTTTAGATCAATGCATGGGCGGACAATTACATGCGTCCGTTTCTCATTTTGCGTAATACACGCATATCACATCATTTGATGTTCATCAATGCATTCAAATTCTTTCTCATTTTTTTCCTCACCGAGACCTTAATGTATAACAAAACATACGTTCTACCTGACTCATATACATGTAAGTTGCATCGACATAATAATTATTTACATGTCATAATGGAGCGAAATAAGAGCAAATAATTTATGATTGCACTTACTACGAAATTGGAGAAGTGTTATTTCGTTCTCGATTGTTTTTTCTTTTTTTTCTTTTCTTTTCTTTTTTTTTTTTTTTTTTTTTTTTTTTATCATTTTTTATTATTATTATTATTATTATTTTTTTTTTCTTTTTTCCTTTTCTTTTCTTTGCATTTGGCAAATCGCAATGCATAATTTGAGTATACGTAAGTCGAAGCATTATGTTTTACAAAGAACTATAGTCACTTTTGTAATAGCTTTTTAAATCTTACTTTCCGAATATTAACCGCGTAACGTGGATATAGTAACATTGTATTAATGATTCCCATTTTTACTGATATTAATTTCCTACAACTCTTGTACATCATCTTATATGTATGGATGCAATGCCAATGCTCTCCCACGTAATCCTCTTTGCCCACCAACACCACCCTTTGGTATAACATATCCACCTGCATGTCTCGCAGTTCCTTCCTCTTCTAAATTACCATTACTTTCTATTAAGTCGCGTAGTGGCCAACAAGCCAAATGACGTGATTTTCCATGACGCGCTAAAACATGATACCCTTGCCTGAAAAATATATACATATATATATACACAAATTAATAAAATGAATAATTCCTAATAAATTCAAAATTTGTTAAGCCAACTATTACAATTATTAAACTCCAATTATGTTTAGTTATTACCTTGACGATATAAGTCCTACAAGTAATGCCCAATGAGCTTTATGACCTCTTTTCAAGCAAGGAGCATGATTAAAATCTGAATCGTATGGAATAAGAACCATTGCTCCATGGGCAAGAGCATGAGTTAAAGTATCTGGACATTGTTGCAAATCAACTAAAATGTCTGGTCTATGATCAGGCAAATATTCAGCAGCCAATGTACCCATAAAATCAACACTGTATACTTCTCCATGCTGGGTGAAACCTCTTACCCTAGCTTCTGCTAGCAATTGACTAACAGAAACAGGTTTTGTATATTCTTGAGACGCCATTGCAAGGGCTACCAAACCGCATCTAATCACATTGAAAAGCATAATTTGTAATACGTATAAAATTAATACGAATAATATCAATGGTGTCTTTAAAATGATATTGGACTTACTGTGGTCCATCTTGGAGAATCGGTTCGACTTGACAAAAATAAGTCACTTCTGCATCCTTCAATTCGTTTCTTGCAATTAATTTTTCAATTTCTGCCTCTGCAGACGTAAGTGTGATTTTAGCCCAAGGGGGCAAAGAGTCAGGGTCGCTCACCTCTGTTTTTTCGCACATAGGTGCCTCTGTCAAAGTTGATAAAGGCGGAGGTGGTGCTGGCATCTCTCAGCGATAAATCACTTATAAATAATTGTTTTTCTTGATCAAGGGAATCAAGTACTTGAAAATACTAATAATGATGCTCTAACAATGCTCCAAATAACATGTATTCGATATAAAAATTGCAAGTTATAAAGTTCTATTGCTTCGGTAACATACATTATGCTTAAAAATAGCACAAGTCATGGTTATGATCAATTTAAAAGAAAAAAAAATTCCTAAAATCACGTCAAAGAGATAATTTTCTGTTACTTATGATTGTTAAAAATATTTTAATATAATAATAGAAGTGTAATTGCAATCTAAAAATATCACGAAATTTGACAAGGTTTGTAGTCGAACGAGACAATCATTTAACAAAAACCGTAACAGAAGACATTTATATAAAAATATTTGAAATCACTTATTTAACCTTGAGGCAAAGATCTAAACTATTAATTTTGAATGATCAACTTGCAGAAAACGAGACCTGTTGTAAAATTCACGATACATCTTTCGAATCAATCTATTACCTATAAAATATTGAAATTTGATCTTTGTTAATACATTAAGATCTACGTCTATTGTATAGCTTCCAGGTACATGATCTCACATTTTGTAGGTATGAAAAGAGAACATAAAACTCTTACGATTTCTAATGGCAGCACACTGCATATTTGACAACGAATGAATCAGTAATCAATCATCTCCGTAAGTGCACGCAATTGCGTATTACATATAATCATTACAATTTCATGTGAGAACCGAGTCGACAATTCGAGTTAAATTTCGATCTAAATCGAAAATGAATAATTTGATATTCCTTTTTTGTCCGTTGTCTAAGGGCAAAATTAAAAAAAAAAAAAAACAAGCTTATTAGTGTAATACGATTTTGACGTTCATATCCCTCCTTCTTCGTTCCGTGAATAATGCACATTCATTATGTAATTTTCGAAGAAAACAAAAATATTAATGGACGAAGACAACGATTCGTGACTTTTACGAAGTATCCATAAAAAACATTTTGCGATAAACGAAGCCGCATTAAATCGCCCAAATAAAATTACTTTGCTTCGACGACTTCTTAAACTGGCATGAGTAGGCACGAGTAGTACTGCGCCTCACGTCAAATCGAGACAATGCATTACATGGATGGCCGCAGGCAATGACGTATTTTCAATAACCAATCAGAGATACAGAATGCTAGAGAACAACATGTCTGCCTTCTCATATGGCACGTTCATAGGAATAATAGTAATATTAACTGTAATAATATTTTTCTTTCTTACACGAAAGTATAAAACGATTAATTATGTAAATTAAATTTAAATGAGTATTAAAATATTAGAAACAATATTATATATTTATATATGTATATATATATTTTCAACAATAATTTTTAGTTTTAAGTTTTATATATATATGTACCTTCTATAAAAGAAGAAATATCCCTAATGCTATACTTGGATATACAATTGTGATCATTAATGGCGGTAATAAGGATATCCTTTGTTTCTTATTTAAATCATATATATTTTTTGTTTTTGTCTTACAATAAAGTGTTATCGCATGATAATGATATTTGTCAAAATGTGACAAACCAATGATATTTATCTAGACGCAAGTAATAAGCCAATAATGAGACAGATTTTCTCGTCATATTGTTATTTATTTATATAACAAATTATAAATAATAATGCCTAAAGACGTTCTCTATATGAGAATTAAACGATTAATATAAACATTATTGAGATATATTGATATATAGATTATGAATTTGTATTGTATTGTGATTATTTGTGACGAAATATTAATTGGAATTTGGACAAATGAAAGCGGGAACGTTTGAATCAAATTTCGGATGAGTTAGTGGAGAAATTTTTAACTTTAAGGTTGGTAGTTCTGATTGGTATTATTATATGTCAATCTTTGTCGTCTATATGTAATTTTTAGAAGAAATAAAAGAGAGTTTATTTATTATCATTTTGACTTAATGTTAATAGAATTTTTCATTAAATATTTAATGATATATTCTTTCGTGTAAATGCAACTACAGCGCCTCTCTCGTCTATATTAAAATTAACAATACAGTAAGGATCGAATATTTTGCAAAGTAAATATGAAATAATTGCTTGATTAATTTTACGCGAACGAGTTCTTACGAAGTTAATATTATTTAATATTCTTATATCGCTGGCAATATTACAATTAATCGTTGTTTAAAGAAAATGGCCGAGAGTAATAACAAAATGTCAAAGGATGTTTCCTCTGTGTCAGAAGATACCGATGAAAAAACGACAGATATTAGTCGTTACTTTAATAATGCACCACGTACGATTTTTGACGATATCGTGGCACCGAATGAACAAAACTATTTTAATACTGTATCAGACTCTGAGGATGTTTCAAGGTTTAATTCACTTTTAAATTGTGCAACGAATGATTTGTTTTCTGTAGATACTTTATTAGATAATGATCGAATCTCAGATCATACGACGCACAATAATTTATATAGAGATACTTGGATACCATCGGAACGTACTCGTAAAATTTTACGATCCATTGCTACATCCACAGTAGGTACTACTTTTCTCGAGAGAGACAATTTAACAATGCCAGGATTGGCGTTGCAAGGAGATATGCCTGATTTAATAAAAACTGCTGTCACCCATTTTCTTGGGGAAGATGAAGAGATGCAAAGAAATGTACTTACCGCCTCAGATGTCACACAAGACGAACGTGGATTGAGAAAATTAATACAAACTGGTTGTTATAGAGCTGCCATTAATTTATCTGGAAGACTTATTTCCATTTATGCTCAAGGTTATGGAAAAATAAATCAATCAAGTAAACATACTCCACATTCTTTATATTTATGGTATACGAGACTTTCCTTATTAGCAAAGTTAAAACAAAATGAATTATTAGAAAAAGAATCTAAGCCATTTGGTGATTTGGATAAGCCAGACATGTATTTTACATTTTATCCAGAATTATATGGTACTAAACCAGGTTCCATGGCTTCATTTGCCTTTAGATTACTTTTAGCAGAAGTCCCGTATTATTATGGGAAACCAAAGGAAGCATTAGATAAACTACATAAAGTTTTAAGCGTTGTCAATGAAATTTTGTCAAATTTACAAGCTGACCTTATCAGGGAAGCTAATGATACCAATGTTACTAATACAGAACAGAAAGATGCTATTAAATTATGGTCACGCAGAAAATCAAGAGTATTAATATCTATCATTAACTGTGCAGTTGGAATGAAAAATTACATTTTGGCAGTAGATATATTAGAAGAATTAAGCAAATCTCATGATTGGACGACAGAGCAATTACAAATATTTCGATCTAGCATAGGAAGAATATATTTGTTTCTTGGGGATGTCTCTACAGCTGAGATATTATTAAATAATAGAATTATTCAGACAACTACAACTACTGTTAGAGAATTGGTAGATAGAGGCTTAATAGCAGTCGCAAAAAATTCATTTCAAGAAGCATTTAATTATTTTCAAACTGCATCTACTATGGATCCCTCTAATGTTATGCTGATAAATAATATGGCTGTTTGTCTTCTATATACTGGTCAGCTTAAAGCTGCTGTACATTTGTATGAAAATGCAGTGGCAAGAAATCCTATGAAAAGCTTACAAGAACCAATTTTGTTGAATATGTGTACTTCCTACGAGTTACATACAAATCATTGTAAACAGACCAAATTACATTTACTTCGACAGCTAAATAAATATAAAGGAGACGCTATTGATATCCAGTGTTTAAAACTTGGTATGTAGTTAATACGAAAGAAGAAGTTTCTTATGAAAATTTAATTAGCATAAAATGGCAACCAACGAGATATTTAATATAAAACAGTATGTATATATATACACTGTATATTTTAGAATAACTCTATCTCCTGGACAAATTGTCTTGGAAAAATAAACATTGTTTCACAAGATCATAATGTGGTCGTGAATATAATACATTAAGTTTAATTTTAAATGGACATTAAAAATGTCTTATCAATTGTACAGAAACGTATATGAGAATAAAATCTAATGGTCATTTGAATCTCATGAATATAACATCATAGAGGAAGAGATGTATCAAAAAATAAGAAATTCTACATTAGCGTCAAAGTAAAATAGCTTTTATTACATCGGGAAACGAAGACAATTTAACGAACGATCAACAAGTGCTAAAGTTCATCCTTCTTTCTCTCTTTTTCTTTTTCTATATCAAATCCTTCCTTCGATTCCTGTATTATTTTTTTTTTCTTATCATCTATTCTGCCATTATTTCCTTCTCTATCTCTTTCTCTCTCTCTCTCTCTCTCTCTCTCTCTCTCTCTCTCTCTCTCTCTCTCTCTCTCTCTCTCTCTCACTCTTTCTCTTTCTCTCTCTCTCTCTCTTTCTCTCTACCTATTACTCTTACCAATCCTTTTCCTAACAGATAATTACGAATTCTTCCTACTCATTATTTATATATTTCATTTTTTTTTCATTTTTTTTCTTTTCTTTTTTTTTTCTTTTTTTTTTTCTTTTTTTTTCTTTTTTTTTTATTGACTTATCCAAAAGCGTGTTGTAACGTTTACTGAAAATATATACTACGTAAGAATAGGAATACGTCTTGAATTTCGTTCATTTTCATTCATTTTACGATTATCGTGCGTTACTGTTAAGCATATACTCTATATCTTTTTCTTTTCTTTCTCTCCACATCTCTCTCTCTCTCTCTCTCTCTCTCTCTCTCTCTCTCTCTCATCCTCACCTTTCTTTGCCTCTTCTCCCACCCTTTCACCCTCTCTCACCCTCTTTCACCCTTTCACCCTCTCTCTCTCTCTCTCACCCTCTCTCTCTCTCTCTCTCTCTCTCTCTCTCTCTCTCTCTCTCTCTCTCTCTCTCTCTCGCTCTCTCTCTCTCTCTCTCTCTCTCTCTCTCTCTCTCTCTCTCTTCTCCCTCAGACACGCACACACATACAACATATACTCTGGCGCAAATGTGAATAACACCTTGCGCGATCGCGTTACATTATAGCACATGTTTGATCGAATTTCAAAACTGCATTCTCTCCCTGCAGAAAAAAAGGCACGAACTGGCGGAAAGGTCGGCCTAACTTTATAATATTTCATTTATTTATTATGGATGGAACTTCGTCACAATACATTATTCTTTTCCCTTTTCTTATATTTTCCATTTCTTTTTTTATTCTTTCTTATTTCCCCTTTCGATCATTATCTTAATTCCGCAGTAACACACGAAAGATCTTTGGAGATGAAGTCCATAGATCAATGTTATGCAAGCCAGCGACGTAGTGTATAGGAGGTGCCTCATCGATTGTAATTATAATAATCATTTTAAATGATCAATGATAATACACGATCGTAACCGTAGAAAAATTTCGTCTTCTTTTCTTTTTCTTTTTTTTTTTGTTGTTTTGTTGTTCGTCTGGTAATACTGAATACCATATTCGTTTATCATAATTCCTTTTTTTTTTTTTTTTTTTTTCGTTTAAATCAAAAAGCAGTATCAATGAAAATAATTCGATATTTCTGGTACAATGATTTATCAAAATATTCTTTTATCCAGCTAATCATATTTTCTCTCTCTCTCTCGCTCTCTCTCTCTCTCTCTCTCTTGCTCTCTCTCTCTCTTTCTCTCTCTCTCTCTCTCTCTCTCTCTCTCTCTCTCTCTCTCTCTCTCTCTCTCTCTCTTCTCTCTTACGATTAACGTAATTGACTAAAGAGAATGCCAAAGGAGATAATTGCTTAAGTATATATAAATATATGTATATACGTATATATATATATATGTGTGTGTGTGTGTGTGTGTGTGTGTGTGTGTGTGTGTGTGTGTGTATATAAAGATTTCATTGAAACGTTTAACAAATTACATTGTTTTGCGGCATTCTTGAGGTACATGGAGTATACAAAATTAATATATCTGTATAACTCGTAGATTCATTGTCAGAAATATGTATGTACATACATACATACATACATATATACATACATAATATAATGGGCTTTTATAATATAAAAAAACTATAATAAATGCACATTTTAATTATTGCGATAGGAAAATATAAGGAATTAACATTTGAGATCAAAGTATAATTACTCATATAGTTCAAAATTTCAATTGCAATTCTCGCTATTGATTTAAATACGAATCATTAAGAAAAGATTAGATTTACGATAGGATACACTCTTTTTATGTAAAAATTTCTAATGGAATGCAATAATATATTATATATAATATTATATGTTCAATTATATTTTAATTTAATCTTTGGCGAAAATATAGAAAGGAAATGTCGATCGGGTTTATTCACGAATGGAAAGAAATTTTTTATCAATTTTAACAAAAAATCAAGGAATAAGTTTTTGAAAGAAAAACAAGGTATTAGGCATGTATCTATGTACATACATAAATAAATTACAAATATATGTATGTGTGTACACCTTAGGAAATCGATTTAGAAATATAACAAATCGTTACTTAAAATTCCATGGGATTCTCTTTCTCTCTCACTCACTCACTCACTCAGTCTCTCTCTCTCTCTCTCTCTCTCTCTCTCTCTCTCTCTTTCTCTTTCACTTTCACTCTCACTCTCTCTCTCTCTTTTGATTGAATCTTATTACATATCGTAAATATAAAAATTGCCCGATCGAGAATCAATGGAGTTAGCCTTTGGCCTTACGTTTCGATTTGTTCTATTTCTAATGAATAAATGTTCTTCGACGTAAATTTTTCTTTAATTAGTCAACTTAAATCGAAGAGAATAAATGCACGTTATGGCATCTTTAAAAGCTAATGATGAGCGTATGAAAAAAAAAAAAAAAAAAAAAAAAAAATAAAAAAAAGAAGAAGAAGAAGAGAACAAACAAAAAATTACATACCAAGTGCGAAATTTTCTTTTTTCCATTATATGGCGCAATTGTAAATAGTTATAAATTATAAAAAAGAAAAAAAGAGTAATTCGAAGTTGGCACTGCCGACACTACGTTGCTAAGACCTTTTTATCTTTTTCACTTTTCATTAATCTTTTTCAAGTACGCGCTGCATATTACATATCACCATAATAATAACATCCACGTCGCTATTTTTCTTGTCGATTAAATGTAATGATGTATATAATATATATATATACTATATATTTACGTACCAATTTTTAGTAAATTTATTTCTTTTATTCCTAAGACGTATGTATTATCCCTACTATGGTGTAATGCTTACGCTTTCTAATAATCTAGAAGAAACGGTACATTATTGTCTGCGGTGGTTTTCTTTTTTTTTTTTTTTTTTTCTTTCTTTCTTTCCCCGATTATTTCTCATATATACAATTTATTTATATCTTTTTTTTTTTTGGTACTTGCTTACGTAACATAGTCATGGAAAGCTCAATGGTATAACCACTGGTATTCATCGAGTACAATTTAATGCGAAGGATCGTAGTTACTCCGCGATACTCCTGAGGATCTTATAATCACAATTGATTCTGTCGCCGTAACAAAACGTTTCGTATAAATTACATATTTTTTTAAAAAAATATCACCGATCTCCTGTCGCACATTATACGCATGTATTATTTTGCCATGTACACATTATATGGGGAAAGTAATTTAAAAAAAAAAAAAAAAAGAAAAAAAAAAGAAAAAGAAAGAAAAAAAAAAGAAAAGAAAAGAAAAGAGAAAATATACCAAAGGAAAAAAAGAACAAAAATGAAGATCAAAAATTAGAAAAAAAAAAAGAAAAAGAAGAAAACAAGAGAAACAAAAGATAAAATTGATTCGAAGGACTATTACATTATATCGCGATATTATTTATTTGAAAGCTGTCGTAATGTTTTTTTTTCATTTTGTTTTTTTTTCTTTTTTTTTTTTTTTTTAAGGAGAATCATGGAAGCAACCGTTCGGCCTTCGGTTAAGAAGATTTCGTTTTTTATATTCGAATTATTATCTTCTATATAGTACGTTATTAATCGCCTTCGACAGTTAGGCAAGCTCGGTCGTTCACGCAAGGCATCGTATGGTGCTTATTAAATCGTTGCTTCAACAATCGTTAACAATTTTCTTATCTCTTTTCTCCGCTCTTGTCTTCTCTTTCTTTTCTTTTTTTCTTTTTTATTTATTTATTTATTTATTTATTTATTTATTTATTTATTTATTTATTTTTCTTTTTTCGTTTCTATTTTTGCTCTCTTATTCTCCCTTTCTTTTTTCTTTCTTTCTTTCTTTCTTTCTTTCTTTTTCTTTTCTTCTTTTTTTTTTTCTTTTTTATAGGATTACATAATTTTAGATTTAAGGAATAACGGAGCTTCATTCCGATTCATCAAAGCGACCTAGCAGCTTGCACCGATCGATACACTCTATCTAATTTTAATTATTTTAATGTACATATAATTTTTTGGGGGCAAATGTGGAACGTCAATAGATCTATATACAGGTTGGATCCATTAGAAATTATTTATCCATATATCTCGATTATCCAAATATCTCTCTAAATAAATATGAGAGTTACGAAGATAATATCAGACAATAAAATTATATAAATTTTATTATCTAACATTATTATTCTATTATTATCAATTCGTATTAGATAAATCAGATGTTTAGTTTTCTAACGAATCAACTTGTATATCGTACGTTAGACACGCGTTATTGTCTTTAAAGAGCATCCTGGCATATTCTTTCGTTTCTATATCGTAACGTCTTTCAAACTAAGTAGATACGACGATATTATTTTTTTCTTTTCTTTCGATCGAAGAGAGAAGAGGAAAAAAGCCGCAGAAGTGTGTGTGTGTGTGTGTGTGTGTGTATGTGTGTATGTATGTATGTATGTATGTGTGTATGTATGTATGTATGTATGTATGTATGTATGTATGTATGTGTGTGTGTGTGTGTGTTTATTTATATGTTTTAAAGCATTTCACCGTGCATTCACGTAATAATAATAACGATCATCTGAAGATAATCGCTTATTCTAAAATATTATAGCCAATAAATTCATTTAGCCACACTTTTGCTATAAGTATATTTAATTATAATCGGTGTTAACGAAGGAACAAACATGAGAGAATTGATTTGCGCACGATAAATCGAGTGTAATGACTCGTGCAAGACGAGAGAAGAAAAAAAAAATATATGTATATATATATATGTAAATATAATATTTATTTGGATAAGAACAAAAGAACTAGATTATATATGATCGATTGTATGAAAAATAAAACAATTAATATATGGCACGATTCTCGGGTAAGAGAGAAAAAAAAAATGTCGATTTCGAGTTATGAACAATAGGACGGTAAATGTAAATGTAAATGTATATAGAATCGTCTTGCACGCGAAAGTTCAAGAAAGAGATCTGATGTATAGCGATCATGGCGTAGTATAGCGATCAATTAGTACTATATCGTATATCGTATAATATTATCGTTATAATTATATAAAAATATATTTCTTAATTATTAACACTATAATAGATGAGTATTATATAAGCATCATATTTCTTTCTCTTAATATGGTCACGATGCCTGTCGCGGATAACCGAAGCTTCTATGTACGCGTATGAGGAAGTACAAGACCCGACATTATTCGTTATTGCCGAATGTAATGTCGTTTTGATACATAATTAATATATATATATATATATATATATATATATATATATATATATATATATATATATATATACATATATATATGGTATTATACAATACATACATACATACATATATATACATATATATATATGTATATATATATATATGTATATATATGGTATTTTTTTTTATTATCTTCTCTTTTTTTCCATTTATTTTTCTTATTTCTTATTTTCCATTTTCTTATTCCTTTTCTCTTCCTTCCTCTTTGTTGTTTGTTTATTTGTTTATTTGTTTGTTTGTTTGTTTGTTTGTTTTTTTTAATCGTTTTTTTTTCTTTGTTTTTCAATAACAATATCACTTATCGTTTTGTTGGCGCGTGTAAATAAAAAGTCGCATAAACTGTTATAAAATACACATTCGCGAGTATTATCAATATCTATGGAGTTTCTTAATTTTTACTCCTGCGCGTTTGAGCGAATAAAATCATATAAATGACATAATCATTTCTTCTTTTCTTTTTTTTTTTTTTCTTTTCTTTTTTTTTTTCTTTTCCGTCGTATAGTGTATTGGAAGCATTTAATATCATACGTATGTAGATCTTATTATCGGGCCTCGAAATTTCGGTAATGAAATTATTGCGAGATTATTGTCGTTACTTTATTATTATTATTATTATTATTATTATTATTATTATTATTATTATTATTATTATTATTATTATCATTATTACTATTACTATTACTATTATTATCATCATCATCATTATTATCATCATAATCATCATCATCATCAATTTTTTTTTCTTGCCTTTCCCTTTTTTTTATCTTTATTCGTCGTCGCTATTTATATGTTCTATATATCAAGTTTTGCAATACTTCATCGGCAAACTTCGATCGATATTAATCGATTAATTCGAATGATTTATCGATGAGGATGAAAGAAAAAAAAAAACAAAAAAAAAATAAATAAATAATGAGAAAACAAAAGGATCACCTTTATGAATGACTTGCCAAATAATCTTCTTATTCTTTCTTTCTTTTCTTTTCTTTTTTTTCCTCTCTCCTTTTTTTTTTTCTTTTAACTGATCTCGTAATAATACATATATGCATAGGTAAATATATATAAATATATTTGGAAGGCGTAGCGTGATTTCTATTGCGAACGACCATTGGAAATCGATTAAAATTTTGATTTAATAATCATAAGTACGTAAGTACGTAATGAAGACGACATTCTCGCATGACATCATTCACCGATTTGCAAGGCCCTTTCGAACGGCGTTCATTAATATCGTGCGTGCTGTTTGTTGTCTGTATTCTATAGGAAATGACTCACTTGAGTATTCGTATTTGAAATATTTCTCTCTCTCTCTCTCTCTCTCTCTCTCTCACTCTCTCTCTCTCTCGCTTTCTCTTTTCCATTTGCTTTTAAAAAACAGTTTAAGAAACTTGTTTCCACAGACAAAATTGTATAATATAAATATCTTCGAAGAAAGAAATTGATATATATGTATATATATATATACGTAATCATGTTACTGTATTATTCATTTAAGACTATGCCAGTTTGTACTTTAAAATGTTTTTTCTTTATGTTTTTCTTTTTTCTAATACTTCGAAATAAGAGAAAAATTTCAAATGACGAATTTTAAGTGATTTATCCTATATATGTGCAGACGTACACGCACACACGCATACACGCATAACACGCATACGTTTTCTCTCTCTTTTTTCTCTTTTTCTTTTTTTTTTATGTATATATATATTATATATATATATACATATATATATATATATATATATATATATATATATATAATGTTCATATATTATAATATAATCATTCTGTAGATTTAAAAGTTACTTATAATGCAAGTTCAATAATATACAACGATCCAATTTTATCGTAAGCTCCATTAACGATCGTTCAATTTCAAGTGTCCTTCGTTCTGTTACTTTTGATCCTCTTTGACAATAGCGACGCGGAATAATTTATTCATTCCAAATGATCGCCCCCCGCCGTTTTTTGCTCTTATTTTCATTTTGACTTATAAAGAAAAAGGAGCTCATTTATTAGCAAGAGGAGTGAAACGATGACTTTTATAATATCTACATATTGATTGTAAATATATAATCTTTTGTTGGTTAAGAGAAAAAAAACAAAAATCAAGAAAAAAAAAACAAAAAGAAAACAAAAGAGTCACAAAATAAAAAATTACATATGTATATATATGTATATATATATATATATGTATATATATATGTATAAATATATATATATATAAAAAGAAATTTCAATAATGTAATTTCTGATCGACATAATATGCGTGTCTTTATCGTAACTCGTATGCAGATATATATGAATCTTCGCGTTTAAAAATGCGAATGGACTTTTAAATATCACACTCCCCCAGGCGAACGTAGCTAACGAATTTGTACATTAATTAGTTTCCTTATTATTGTCATGGTATATATAATATCTTGTTAATAAAAATACTAAAATATTATGTATATCATATCTTATAGTATATATATATTTGTGTACTGTGTTTGGTATATGTATGTATATAGTGTATGTGTTATATATATATATATATGTATATATATATATATATATATATATATATATATATATACACATACATACACCTTTATGTGCGTATATGTGTATGTGTATGTGTTATGTGTATAGAGAGAGATTATTGCATTATGCATTTTTGGTACCGTTACGTTATCTTATTTAGCGTATTCGCCGATACGCACATTCATTGGCAATTTTTCCCTATATATCATTAAATTTGGTTGCGTATCGAACGATTTTGCTGAGAACTTGGAAAAGCTCAAGTACATAACGATCCAACCCAAACAAGGGTTGGTATCGTTCTCTCCTCGTGGCACGATTACAACGAATACAGGAATACGAGAATAAGAGTTTCTCGTGAAATATTAAAAATGATTTGGCAAAACAAAAATCAAAATAAACGAAAGGAAACGTAGCACAATGGCTTTCCTTTCTTCGCGTTGATTTGATTGAAGAGAAAAAAAAATAATAACAATTAAAAAAAAAAAAAATATTAAAAAAAAAAAGAAACACATCGATGGATGTAATACTTGATTAATTAGAAACTTTAAATGCGATTTTTCTGTTTGAATGGAGTAAGAACCGTACGTACTCGGCCAACGAAGCGGACATAGGACGAAGAACGCTCGAAAATTTACTCTCTGTATGGTTTACAGTAAGAGTAACGGTGATTCATATGTTGGCTGTAGGAGCCGGAGTGAGAAAAGCGTTTGAGGCACTTAGAGCACTGAAATGGTTTCTCGCCACTGTGCAACCGCTTATGTTCAGTTAGATGATGTTTGTGCTTGAACGCTCTTGGACACTCCACGCATTTGTACGGCCTTTGCCCTGTACAAAAAAAAGAAAAGAAAAGAAATCAACAATTTTATGCGATAATAAGATGTCTAATCGAACTTTAAGATTGGCCGTTATTTATTCGGGTCAGTATTTATAATAAAATATCAGTACGTAATATAAGTGACGCAATCATGACACATAAACATGACGTAACCCTGACACTTAATTATTTATACCGACCAAAATATTCATATATATTTATCATTACAAAATACTTACCGTTAATTAATAATAATTAATACCGATCAAGTATATAGAAGCGTTTAAGATTTTACATATTTCTAATAATGTTTCCTTATAAAATGAAATTTGTGTATTGATTTTTTATATATCGTTTGATAATTTGCACAAAAGCGGATATATGTATATAGGTATAAAGATATTTTTTAAAGTCAATAAACTTACCGGAATGTTCATACTTGTGTCTCGCGAGAGAACTATGTTTTGAAAAAGTCTTGTCGCAACGATCACAAAAATAAAGTCCTTGTTCAGTATCTGCTGTGGTAGGCGGTTCAATTTGAACTGGATTCTCGTTCTCCTTTTTTGCGTTCCCATGATTTTGATTCTGAAAAGAAGGGAATTTTAATTTTGTGCATTGTAATGTAAATTTCATTATTAATTCAAAATTCGTGATGAAAATTTTGTAAATATGATCAAAACGTTAAGTCATTGGATGATATAAAATAAATAAATATTTCTACGTTCTTTGTCGTATAAAATGTCATTCAATATATTTTAATTAATTAAAATGTTTGTTATAATAAATACGATATTATTTTTAAAATAATAATATTTCAATATCATTGAAATTTTATTTTATAAAACATTTTCAAGTCTAACAAAAGGATTTTATAAAATTTCAACGATCAAATAAATTTGGCTATATGTATCGAATAAAATTAGAAAGACATTTTGAAAATTTTCAAGGGATTAATGAAATAATTGCAATGATAGTTGAAATTTTTACAAACGATGTACATCATACGTGTATAAAATTTTGTTAGATTTGATTTAGCTAATACGTTGCTATAAAAAGAAAGTTTTACGCACATACATCACGATTTGTATGATTGATTTAAAAATAGAATTGAAAAAAAATTCTATTATAATCGTAATTAAAAAAAAAAAAAGCCATAAGATAAATACCTTTTGCGAGACGTCGACCGTGGAAGGCGTACGTTTCGTATCGATAGAATCGGTAATTTCTTCGTCTATAATAAGAGGCGAATCCTCGAGATCGTCCGTATCTTGATTTGGAACAGTAGAATTATTATCCTCTTTCTGTTCGCAAGGCGAAGAAACGTTTCTGTTGGAAGTATCAACATCTTTGACGAGCGATATCGTAAGGACATCTTTCTTTGATAAATCCAAAGGTTGTTCTATCGTAGTTTGATTAGCTGGATTTGAAAGAGGTAACAATGCTGGTATCTTCGATTCTCTGCGATCTCTGGCACGAGAATTTTGAAACCAAACCTAACAGAACGATGGTATTAGTTTAATGAGGATAAAAAAAAAAAAAAAAAAAAGAAAGAAAAAAAAATTCAATAATAAATAAATATATAAAAGTGATAAAGATAGATATACATTTGATGAAAATGGATATTTACCTGGACGACACGAGTTGGAAAATTAATGTAATTCGCTATCATAATAATCTCTTCTTTCTTTGGTCTAGGATTAATAGCGTAATAACCTTTGAGAACAGCCAATTGTTCATCGTCTATCAATGACCTCGCCCTCACTCTCCTACCATTTTCTGTATGCGTTTGATTTCCATCTTCTTCGTCATCGGAATCCGGCTCGGAACTATCCTCGGCTTTCCTCTTGGAAGTTAACCTGACAATACCATGGGGCTGATTAGCATCTTCAAGTTTAGCAGCCAAACCTTCGCTTTGTGAGTCGTACTGATCCGTTACTGACCAATCAGGATAATGGGTCATCTCGCTCGATACTTCGCTATCCTGGTCCTGTACAATAAAGTTAATAATATAAATAAATAATTAATATAATATTAGATAAATTTATTAATATGTGTCGAAATATAATATAAAAATACAAATAAATTATATCCACGGAAATGATTGAAACAAATTTCAACATCCGCCTTAATATGAATAACTAGGATGGTTTTTTTTTTTTTTTTTTTTTTAAAGATATCGATAATAAAAAAAGTAAATACCTATGATATGATATATTCATATCAAATATAATATTATCAAAATAATTATTATAAGTAAATAATATAATGATTAACATAAAAATAATGTAATATTATAATCTCATATTATGAAAAAAAAAAAAAAAAAGAAAAAAAAACGAAAGAAAATATTTATGATATGATATACTCATGAATCATTCAAATTTGAAACATATAAATATACGTATGTGATGTAGCTATTAAATAATCATTATTTCAATATTTATTTCATTTTAAACGTTACATACTTGATAATCGTCTTCGAATTCTCGTTTCATAGTGGCCGGTGAGGTAGACAATTTTTTTACATTCGCTTCTAATAATTGCTTCGTAACAGAGGTATTGACAGTTTCCAAAATACGTCGTACAACATCCAAGCCCTGTGATTCAATCGGAGCAGGTGATTCCTTCCCTTCAGTACCTTCCGTACCCTCTGAATCCGCTGTCGATGGGCTCATCGTTTCTCGATGATTTTCGAATTGTTCGGCGACTTCATCGAGTCGCTTGGAATGCAGTTGATTTAATATCTTTCCCAATGAGGATTGAAGGAAGTAACTACTAAAGCCCATCATTTGGGGTAGAAGGCTTGGTACATCGTAAATACCTATAAATGCAAAAAAAAAAAAAAGAAAATGTTATTTGAAATTGAATAACTTTTTATTCATTGAGAAAACAGATACGGTTTTAAGATTTTTGACAAAGTGAAAAATTCATGTATGCTATATGCGGTATATTGATAAATAAATAAATAGTTTTGTGGTAGTGATAAAAAATGCAAAAATTAATTTCTCAGAAAATTTTCCAACGAATAATTTTATATAAAAGAAAAAAAAAACGAAAAGAAAAAAAAACAACAACAACAACCGAATATATTTCACAAATCTAATCGTCTTATAAAAATTCTGTATATATAATTAAAATCGATCATTCCTTCTAATGCTGATTATATTTCTGTACAAGTTATATCTATTTAAGAATTTATACAATCATAAAATTCAACATTAAAAAAGATCATTCTTTGGACAAACGTTAACAATGTTATTTACAAGATACATATAATACAACCCCATATCAAATAGATATATACATATAAGGTTTTTCATAAAATAGCTAATAAACAATTTGTAATCTTTTTTCTTTTTATCATTCTTATAACAAATGACGATTTTCTCAAATCTGGGTAAAAAGTTATTCAATATTAAATATCGTTTAAATTCTTTTATTGCGTGTAAGATCTCATATTAATATATGTGCGATTACCTCCGCCTTCTCGTATCTCTTGATAATCTGAAGGAGAAAGCTTTGGCAGTATCGGTAAAAAAGTATTGTTGTTCGCCGCAAGAAGTGTATCTTCACGTCGTCCAGGAACCGATTGCGTTGGGGTTTTCTTCGAGCATTTATCAACATTACTTATACTGCTTTGTCTCGATTTCTTCAAATTTACGATTAAGCACTTTTTGGAAGTCATATGACTTGAATAAGAGCCAGAATGTGAAAATCTTTTTCCGCAGTTGTTACATTGAAATGGTTTTTCACCGCTGTGTATACGAAGATGTTCCTAAATAATATGAAAAGATTAAGTCGAAAGAAAAGTTCGTAGAAACGATCGTGTTCGCGTACCTTAAGGTGATGTTTAAATTTGAAAGCTTTCTCACAGTGGGGACATTTAAATTTTCGAAGTACTGCACTTTCGTCATGGCTGATCATATGCCTTTGTAATCGATAGACGTTAGCGAAAGTCTTATTACATACTTTGCATGACTGTAACGAAAGATAAATAAATTTGTTAATGTAACAAACCGTGAAATATACGAATATAAATAAGAGAAATTTCACTTATTTATAGCTTACAACTTGGGAAAATTGAGCGTTTGGATCATTTTTGTCGACCGAGTAAAGCGTCTTGTGAGCGTCCTCGATATGAAGTTGAAGTACGTGCGCGTCTCGGAAGAGTATGCCGCAGTGGGAACAAGTTTGGCCATTTCCTCGTTTGACCGTCGATCCTCCCTCGTTATCATCGCCACCTCCGCCACCACCACCACCACCACCACCACCACCACTACCATCAACACCACCGCCACCACCGCCACCGCTACCGCCACCGCCACCGCCGCCGCCGCCACCGCCACCGCCGCCATCCTCGTCGAGTACGGCCGACGTGGCTTCAGCGGTACAGCCTTCGGTTGCCGTCGTCACCGTCGTCGCTACGTCCGCACCACCTGCTTCGTCCTCGCTGCAATCTAAGTATATACAAAGTAAGCGCAAATGCGCTCTTACGGATAACGTATCATTAAAAAAAAAAAAGTATATATATAAAAAGAAAAAATAGAAGCAAAAAGAAACATTAAAAAAAAAAAAAAAACAAAAAGAAAAGAACAATACAAAAAAAATCATCACTACCGAGTTGCAAAGTCGTGTGCAATTCTGGGAGGGTCCATTGTCATTGGTTACGACGCATCTACGTATATGCATAGATACCTATACGAAAGCTATATAGAGATTGGTATCTATATAATACATGCACATGTATATGTATATATATATATATGCGTGTGTACTTATACACACATATATACACACTGGTATCCCCCCCTTTACCAGTTTTTCGCACGAGGCTTCGCACGGCACCCTGTGCACGACGCCCTACACGATGCCACGCACGCGTCGAGCCGAGCACCACGACGACACACGGACCACGAGGGGAAAAATGACACATGACCGTGAGCCCGCTCGAGCCTGCATAACTTTTCGGTCCGATCATTGTACCAGCAGGGATTCAAACGCTGCTCCCACTGTACCTATTCCCATTCGTGATCATGAACCATTTTACGACTTCGATATCGCGGTAGATACCTATTGTATCTATGAGAAGTTACCTTATTAACGGATCAGACAAGAAAATCTTCTAAAGTTTCACCTTTCTCCCTTATTAATCTCTATCGATAGATTTAGGCCTTCTTTTATTTATCTTCGATTTATTTATTCCTTCTTTTATGCCTTTTACTTTGGTATAATAATGATCAATATTTTACTATTAAAACACTAACGAAACGCATTCTTATTCTGACTGACTTTCGTTCGTGTTCGTTCATGAAACGAACTTTGATCAGCGTGCAGTCCGATAAGATGTCGAAACGGGTCACAGCCGTGACCTTTCCAGCCTTCCTGTCAACGGTTCGTGGATCATTCGTTCCTCGTTGCGTAGCTCGCAATGTTACGTTATTTCTCAAGAGCTCGATTTATACCAATATATTTTTGCAACAATACGAACAAAATTATAAGAAATATTAGATAATCTTTCGGAATAAGAAATTAATTAAATACGAACGAATAAATTTATATATATATATATATATATATATATATATATGTCGTCTATAAGATATCCTTGTTCTATTTATTTATCAATGGTGACCTAACTATTAATTTTGTTTTGTAAAGATATCGCATAAAAAAGAAACATACGTCTAAGTTTTATATCGAAAAATACGCGGCTTATAAATCGACAAAAGTTTAAGTTTAATTAACAAAATTGTTTTCTCGTGGATGAAAAATAAATTATCATTTTTGTTTTTCATGATTTTTTTTTCTTTCTCTGATCCATACCAATAATCAAAGATGATGCTTCTACCAATGATGTCAGTGGAATGTGGGAAATGATATAAGCAACTTGCATATTGTCTATTCTAACACGTAACACGTCTCGGTTATATGTAGATCATGATCTTAATGGACTATAGAACGAAAACAAGAAGAAGAATCAACGACTGAGAGAATATTACGAACTATCATAACGATTACATGATCGATCCCACTTTCTCGAGAGCTATACACGAGCTCGAATCGTTCACTAAAATTATCAGTTTCGTTATGATCTCCTGTTATTTATCTTATTCCCGTTATCTTAAAGAGAATTAACATTCGGGTATCATGTTTTTCGCCAGTTCATTTCTGTCTTCCTAAAATCTAAACTAATTTATAAAATGATCGATTTACAAGAAATCTTTAATTCTGTTGTTTGACCATATCGATCGTTTTCTCGTCTAATTGTATTTACGATAATTAATATACGATAAAAATCGACGAAGAAAATCTATCTTCGAAGAAAATTTAATTAGGCCAGAAATGAAGTATACGTAATGTGTTATTTTATCAATGTTTTTTCTTTTTTTTCTTTCCCATTAAAGTTGCACTTATTAGGAAAGAATTCCTGCGGTCGGCGATACTTTCTAATGCAACGAATCTTCATTTCGTCATTTCCATATACTTGGGGGAAAAGAAAAAAAAAAAACAGAAATTCTTCGTGACCATTTACCCTTGTGGTCATGGATAAACCGCATATCTCGTGGCTTCTATATTTCATTGAATTTCTTTCGAGTTCTCTCGTGTGACACTTATGTTAGTAAATACAATTTATAAAACGATTTCTCGAGAGGGACTTTACAAGTCCCAAACGTGTATGAAATTATCGGGACCCTAAAGAACTATAATTTCTATTCGAATCTCAAATACATAAATCGATTAGAAATTTACTAGTCCTGCAGTTTAACGATTTTGAAGGAAAAAAAAAGGAAGATAATTACTCCAAAAAAAAGTCTCGAAAAAGTGTAAATGATCTTTAAATTGATCTAGTAACTTTTGGCCAGCCCTATATTTCGATAAGAACAAATGTAATATATATATATATACGTTTACTTCAGAACGAATACTTTTTGTTGTTTTGTTTTTCATCGCGTAAAATAATACCATTAAGAGAGAATGAATCTACCCAAAAAAAAAAAAAAAAAAAAGAAAAGAATGGAAACGGAAAGAGTATGATCTTTTTAACGTATCCTGTTGAAAAAAAAAATAAATAAAAAATAAATAAATAAAATGGAATAAACTCTGAAAGCAGATGGGGAACTAAAGGGGGAAAAAAGGTTCGCAGTATAAATGGAAGAAGAAACGTCGTTAAGTAGTTTAATTTTTCGAAATATAGTATAAAAAAAAGAAAAAAAAAAACAGAAAAAAGAAATGAGAGAAAGGAGGAGCATAGGTATGAGAAAAAGTTGGATGGTAGCCATGCCCTTAGACGGTGACGAAAAGATGGGCGCGCTTACGTCATCAAGAGCGTCGAGAAGAACGGATGGCGGCGTACTGCCGAGTATGGACTGCTATGAACTTATGGAGCGACCAGAGTAAAGGCGCGTTTGCACTCGAGCAGCAGCTCGAACTTGCTCTCGAGGATATCGTGCGCGCCACAACGAACAAGGATATAAACCGTGCGGCGCGTGAGCCAAGTAAGTAAACGCGATTTCTCCGACTGAATCCAAAGAGAGGTCATTGAGCCTGATAGGGCGCGGTCGCCATCTTCCATGACATTAAAACTATTTCGATGCCTTCCTTTTCTTTCTTTTTCTTTCTTTTCTTTCTCTTCTTCATTCCTTATGACAATTCTCTTGTTTAAATATTAGTATTATAATATAAAATATAATATATAAAATAATACATAAAATAATATAAAATATGTATTATAATATATAAAATATATGATTAAAATATAAAATAAAGATATGTAATTATTGTAATATAAAATATATAAGATATACGTATACATTTATATATGTATATATATATATATATAGGAATATGTGTGGGTATATATTTTTGTTTAAAAAAGAGTAAAAAAATTATTGAACTTTAATATACACCTCTGTATATTATAATTATTTTCATGTTATTATCATATAGTCGTTGTCATTTGGAAAAAAGAAAAGCCGAGCAGGATAAAAGGAAGCTCGATTGAAATAATAAGAAAAGAAATGTATTCGGAATACAAATGTCCGCAAGTAAAACGCAGAATCGTTTTATTATCAAAAACGAAAGACAAAATAATAATCGTGAAAGAGAGATAACTCGATGCGATATCTCATAAAGAAAATATTTGCGCGTTTCTCAATGAAGCCTGACGTATTACATATGTACCTATGTACTAGTCAATATACTATGTATATCATCATACGACGTTTATTGCGATGTATGCAAAATCTAATCTTTTTCATTTGTTTATGTGCCAAATCATGAACGAAGAGAAAGAGAGAGAGAGAGAAAGAAAACGAGATATTATTACTAATACTAATCTAATTAATAATAATAATGTTATCGTCGATAATATTTGTTCATACGTTATCTTCTATAGAATGTAAATGTTTTTTAATAACTTTACGATAACAATTTTTGTTCTTTTTTTTTATTCATATATATATATATATATATATATATATATATATATATATATATATATATATATATGTCGTTTAAATACAAAATAGCGGAGAAGTATTAATAGATTTCTACAGAAATGCTTTGTTGCGATTTTATATACGGATATCACGTGCAATTTGACGATGAATAAAAAAAAAAAATCAATGAATATTTTTTATTCAATCTGTTGAGTCTGATTTGATGCATTTTTATGCATCTTCGTATTCATTATATATATGTTTTATTTAATAATTGCAATATATCATATTATATGTTTTCATTGTTTAATAATCGTATCTATAGAAATAAATATAAATATAAATATATCACGAAAATTAATATCCACTAATTATCCAAAACGAAAATATGTATTAAAATACATTGACAGTAATATATTCGATTAAAATGTACAATTTTGTTTAGATTTATGTATGCACAAAATATATGTAAATAAAAAATATATTAGTATAACTTGCAGTCTCTGATGAAACGTAATATTTACAACTCATTTTAATATCTAGTAATTTATTATAATATCGAAATGATGTATTATATATAACCATATATATATAAAATATAATACATATACGTAACATATATCTTCCTATAACTTGACTCGATCAAAATTTAATCGGAATATATACGATTTTTTAAATGAATTTATCAATTAATAAATATTCGTTGTATACGTAGTTTTGATAAATAGCATTGAAAATATATTACAAAATCGGATTTGATAAGTAGAGTTCGATAAAATATTATGTAAAATAGCGTTAAATTATAAAAAACAAAAAAAAAAAACATTTGCTAAACGATACGCTTGATATCTCATGAACAAGAATGCGTAATAAGAAATAAAGGAAGTATATATTTTTAACGTAAATAAATGAAAAGTTTCATGTGAACGAATAACGATGAAAATTCATCATTGTTTTCAGGTATTCGTTTACTCTCGAATTTCTTTCTTGCCTAGCAATGATTACGATAAATGATCAAATTCATGGAAATATATGATAAAAATAAATCATCTTTTGTTATCTACGCGTATACTTGGTACGCTGACATCAACTTTTTTCAGGAGGCCCATCGTCGTCTATCATTCCAGAGCTGAATTTCCGTTCGACAAAGACAACAACGAGAATACAACGATCATTTGATTTTTAGAAGAACGCAATCAATCTTGATTTTAAATCGTGCAGTATAAAAAATCGTAACTTCGTAGAATCGTAACTTCGTAGAATCGTAACTTGAAAGAATTGTTTAGCAAGTTAAAATGAAAAATTTATTGAACGGTCCAATGAAACTTTCGATTTGTTTTAATTAATTATCTCCGTTCGAGGTTGATATTTTCGAAGAAAATTCTCTTGCCATAGATCTTTTGAGGTCATCGGGTCACTGTGCTCACACAGGAAATAAGAAGGAGCACGTTACAGCGAGTAGCACAGAGTTTCAACGAAATCGAAGCGGGGGCGTCTGTTATTTTTTCTTTTTTTCTTTTTTATTCGGATATATCTTGGTTCGCGGTGTGGAAAGGTCTACGATAAGTGGGGATGAAGGAGGGTAAGAGTGTCCTACGTTGCATACATTGCACATGCGCTTACGACAAGACGAAAAAGAAAAAGGGAGAAAGAGAGAGAAAAAGAAAGAGAGAGAGAGAGAGAGAGAGCGAGAGCGAAAGAGAGATAGAGAGAGTGAGAGAGTGAGTGAGAGAGGCAAGAGCGTAGTGAGACAAAAATACGTATCGCATCTCTTTGGTGATAGACAATGTAACCAGTAGTAGATAGAAGATAGAGGTTAGAAAGTAAAAATTAGAAATTCTTACCTTTGTATGTGTTCCGAACAAGAGTCATGCTCATATTCGCGAAAGCACCGATCGGTATTGCGTTTCGCGCGTGTCACTCTTGTTCGTTGCCGAGGACAACGAGGACGCGAGACGCAACCCAAACGACGATATCCTTCCTTCCTTCGTGGCCACGTAATCTCGATGTCTGTTCAAGAATTCGTCCAACGACGTTTAGTGCCACAGCAGCGCAGCATTCTCGTGCACGTATTCCTTTACTTCCGACGTAACTTGGAATATCTATCGGGTTCGCCGTTTTTCTCACTTATTTAATAAGACCGAAACTCGAAATATACCGGCCGGATGTTGTTCTTTACGCGCACTATCGATCACTTTCTCACTCTTTTCTTTTTTTCTTCTTCTTCTTCTTCTTCTTATCTTTCTCTTTACGTCTAACTATCAATTCATTTCTTTCTTTCTTTCTTTTTTTCTTTCCCTTTCCTTTTTCTTTTTTCTCTTTTCTTTCTTTTTCCTTTTCTCTAACGAGTTTGAAAGGTGTTGACAAATTTTCCAAATAAATTTCTCTTCTTTTACTTCGTCTTCGTCTTCTTCTCCTATTTTATATCTAATGAGGAGGAGAAGGCGAAGGCAGCGACGACGGCGATGACGACGACGACGACGACGACGACGACGACGACGAATGGGAGGGTGTCGCCTCACGTGGTGGCGAAAAAGAGGCCGATCTATCGAGTTACTTTTTCACAATGTTTCCCGACGACGACGACGACGACGACGAATACGAATACGAATACGACGACGGCGATGACGATGACGAAGACGACGATAAGAGAGAAAAGATTCTTTTAGAAATATATGATTACAACGGGACTGATCTAACGGCGTTAAGAGATAGCTTTGTAAATGAGTGGAAGATGATTGCTGATCCTCCGAAAGGCGCCGTGCGTAACTCTCAGGAGGATGATGGTAAGAGCGGGGAGAGAGGAAGGAGAAGCTGTCGTCGTGTAGCGAGAGGAAAGACGAAAAGGAGCGCGATGTCAATGATTCTGCCGTTCGTTTGTTCCACCGCTTGGTTCTTCGTTCCTTGCGTCTGACCTATCTCGAATGGGCGGGACGCGATGTCGCCGCACGAAAACGCCACCGCTTCGCTCGCGTGACGCTTTTCCGCTTCTCTCAGGTGCTGACCTTCGCACCGAGCTTGAAAATCTTATTGGTTCTCTATCTCTATCTCTCTCTCTCTCTCTCTCTCTCTCTCTCTCTCTCTCTCTCTCTCTCTCTCTCTGTGTGTGTCTGTCTGTCTATCTATCACTATCTATCTATGTATCTCAATCTACCATTCCACTATTTGGTTTTACGCGATGTCCGATCGATCGCATCCACATCCTTCTAGATTGAACTCGCCTTTGCGTTTCTCCACCCCGTGCTCTACCTTTTTCTCTCTGTCTGGACACCTTCCTGTCAATTTATCCAACGTTTACGTTTATTAAAGACACAATCACATTTTCTTCCCTTTTCTTTCCTTCTCTTTTTCTCTTTCTTTTTCTTTTCTTTTCTTTTCTTTTCTTTTCTTTTCTTTTTTTTTTTTAGTTGTCACTTCTCGAAGCAATCTCACCACTATTACACTCGCAATTTATTTAACGACGAGAAAGAAAAGGACGAGTATCGAGGGAATCGGAGAATGTATAGACACAAGAATGAATATTTAAAATTTGATTTCACTTGCTTTCACGGAGAAGGAAAGCTTTATTTTTTGTTTTCTATTTTGAATTTTTTTTTTTTTTTATTTATTTATTATTTATTTCATTCTCTCTCCCTTCTCCTTCTCCTCCTTCTTCTTCTTCTTCTTCTTCTTCTTTTCCTCCACCTCCTCTCTACCCACTAATTACACTTGTTTCTCTTCTTTAGGTATTTCTTTTCTTCCTCGCGTATATAAAGTTTAAGGAAAAAAAGGAATAAGATCTTTTGGGAGGGTAGGTTGGAAAGGGGGGAAAATAGAAGAGAGGAAAAAAAAAGAGAGATAGAGAAGAGAAGGAACGAGGGAAAAAGCGAGGATTTAATGTTCGATGTTAGGGCATGGTAAGATCGGGCGAAACAGAAGCGTCCGTTTTACACTAGCTGACTCGAAGCACCGAACACCGGTAAACGCGCTCCCAACTAACACACATTGGAGAGAAAAGATCGGGTACTGCTTTGGAAGGTTACTATAGGATGGGACGGACGATGATGGCGGCTGTAGCACGGAGGAGCCACCGCCCCCGTGGCTTTGCTCCCCCTCTGTGCCCCTCTTTAGCCGGCACCGGCACCGGCACCACCGCCACCTCCACTTCCACCTCCACCTCCACCTCCGCTGCCACCACCACCACCGCTACCACCACTACCGCCTTTTCCCTTCCCAATATCGTATCGTCCAGTGAGTCGGCGCACCACATTTACCCCACTCCGCCTACAATCTCCTTCCCCCTTTTTACCTTCTCTTCGTCACGGTGCGAGAACCTCCCGCCACCCGCCCTAAACCAGAGATCTACTCTGTCTGTCTGTCTCTCTCTTTCTCTCTTTCTCTCTTTCTCTCTTTCTCTCTCTACTTCGGGCTCCTACTCGGACGTCGTCCAGAGTCTACGACGTAGCTAACAGCAGCCTTTATCATCCTCGCCCAAAGTCCCCGCGCGCAAGTCACGCATCCTACGTCGACGCCTTCTCCGCCACTGCCACCACCACTACCATCTACTTTTCACCTCCACCTCCATCTCCACCACCATCACCACCTTTTCTCCTCCACCTCGTCATCGTGGCGTCACCGTGCCGGCACGGCGTCCCTAGCCTCCGTCGTCCCTAACTACGCGAGAAGTATACCTCTCAACTAGATTTTCTTTCTCTCTTTTTCTCTTTCCTTCTCTCTCTCTCTCTCTCTCTCTCTCTCTCTCCACCTATCTATCTATTTACTCTCCCTTTCTTTATTTCTCTCTCTCTCTCTCTCTCTCTCTCTCTCTTACAATTTGACAAACCTACGTGCGATCCTCCTCATCATAATCTCTTTCTCTTCGCAGTATTCCGATTTTTCTTTTTTCATCTTTTTTTCTTTTCTCGAACATTTGAAGAAACCTAACAACTACGATCGATACCATCTGCCGACTGTAAGTCGACTAATTTCTTATCGGATGACGTATTCATTAACCGGAAACCGGGATATCGTTTGTTCCCTACTTAACGGATGCCTTGCTCCTATTTTTCTTATCTACAAGGGAGGATGTATATAATCACGGATACGATTCGTTTCTCTCTTTCCATGCCCGCTGGATCAACTTGCCTTTAAATAATATTTACAATTTTACCAAAAATTTCTAATCTCTTTTTATAACTATTATACAAATTGAAAAAGGAATCTAGATGAAAATATTTGTCTTAAGTTAAATTTTAATTAGAAATTCGTAATTGTGTAAATACGTATATCTGTTCTTCAATCAAATTAGCGATCAACATTAATACTCATATTCTTAAGTCATAAATACGCATATTCCATAGCATCTCTCAAATTCAAAATTCAAAGTCGATTTTTCTCTTCCTCCTTATCGTTTTAATAACAAACCATCGGAAAAACAAAAATATAGTATTAACGAATAAACAATTAATAGTAAATTATTAAATAAAAGCATAAAGTTTAAAAATAATTTCATAAACGTAAACTGAAAGATAGTGAGAGCAAGAAAGATTAGAGTAGAACGTATATGAGAATGAAGATTGAATCTTCAAAATTAATAGAAATGTACTCTCGCATTTTGTATTCTATCTTTGACAAGAGTAGAAGCTATTAGGACAAATAACGAAGTTTCTTTTGTTTTTTCCCCCTTTTTTTTCTGAACATTGCTACAACCCTATGAGATCGTTGACCTCGTATACCTTAGTATTGAAAAGAAAAGAAATAATTTCTTTCTACGAATTCATTGATAATACAATAGGGTAAAGATCTCCGTATATTTCGAGATGTGAAAAGTAATGTAAATCGTTACGTATACGTTCGTAGAATATATAATGTGGATTCTCAATTAATTCATACGGCACTGAGAAAGTTAAGGCTTAAACCGACGACAACGTACGAGGATGATAAGAGAGATCGGAGTCGAACGAAGTCGTGTAAGGAGGAGGCACTGAGAGTTAATGCGCGCTCGCGCTTCAGCGCATATTAGTGAGAGTACGGAGGACGGACATAGAGGTGTCCACAGTGGGGATCGCGAGACTCCCTTCCAGCTCATGGAGGGGTATCTCCCTACGCACACTGTGCCATAGTCATTGCCGGCCACTCTGTGAATCCCTTTTTTGTTGCCGCCCATTAGACTTAACCACGGCGTGATTCGCAGCCAGCGGTGTCTTCTTTATCTTTGCCCAAAGCAAAAGTCTTTGCGATTACAACTACTTCTCTCTTGCTCTTACGTTTCATTCGTTTTTTCGTTTACTTCTCGCTCTTTCGTTCTTTTACTCGCTCGTTCGAACTTTATCGTTCTTGCGATAGATACGCGTGAATCACATGCGCGTGTATTTGGTTTGACGCTTATTTTTTTTATCGTATGTGTATTATGATAAATATTAACAATGTAACAAGTTTAAAGTCCTCTTCGAATGTAATTAAACTCACCTAAATCGGTCATCATTGGAAAGAAGAAGAAGAAGAAAAAGAAGAAGAAGAAGAAGAAAACAAAAGAAGAAGAAGAAGTAAAGGGAAAGAAAGAAAAAAAAATAACAATTATTCTTTGTATTTCATACCGATGGCAAATCGATCTAAATATATTTCCTTTCTTTCGAATTTATTAAAATTATATATTACATTACAAAATATAACCTCGATCGGATATCTTATTCTATTGATCCTTTCAAGTGAAACGTGATGTTCTACATATATACGTTTTGAAAAGTTAAAAGTCTAGTTTCTATTTGATAGTCCCATTTCTATTTCAAATAAAAATATAACTTCGTCGTAGAAAATAAAACAACAACGGGGAAATTACATTTTAGATGTACTATTAATTTCCTACATTCATTATCGACAAGTTATTTCAAAAGAAAAAAAAAGAAAAAAAAAGAAAAAAGAAATAAATAAAAAGGGGAAAAAAAAGGATGAATAAAGAATTAGATTAGACGCATTTAAAACTGTTTAATCATTAAATTAACACAAATGAGATAAATCACGAAGTCAATATTTAAATAGGTATACGTTTCAAGCGTATCTATCTATTATGTATTTCAATGTATTTCGTATGTATATTATTTGATAAAGAAAAAAGTCAAATAAGATCCACTAAGAGCTACAATATAATCGGTATACGTGAGAAAAAGGGAAAGAGTGATGGAGTGAAAAGAGGTAGAGGGGAGAAAAAAGAAAAAAGGGAAAAAAAAAGAAAAAAGAAAGAAAGAAAGAAAAGTGAGAAGAATGAGGGGAGTGGTAGAAAAGGTCAAATTTCACGTAACTTATCCGGCTTTTAACACCGACCATCGTAACTTTAATAAGTACTAAGTACAAGTTTAATAAGTACTAGGTTTGACAATTTGTTGACAATTTGTTCATAAGAAGGGATTGACAGGTACAAGTATACATATATATATATATATATATACATATATATATATAAAGAGAGAGAGTGATACACGAGTAAATATCTAGACATAATCATAGAGAATGAGAAAAAAACGACCGGATCCGTAAAACTGAAAGCTCGAAGGACAAAAAGCTGACCTCTTGAACAACTGTACACCATGTGTGCACCACTTGTGCCTTCTCTTATCCTATTCTTTTTCTTCTAAACTCCCTTCTCTCTTCCCCAGGTCTCTTTTCTCCTTCTTTCTTTTCCCCTCTTCTAAGAGTCTTCTGTTTTTCTCTTCTGTAGTTTAATAATGTTACCAATAAAATAACAAAGAGAGAGAAAGAGAGTGAGAGAGAGAGAGAGAGAGAGAGAGAGAGAAAGAGAGGGAAAGAGAGAGAGAGAGAAAGAGAGTGAGAGAGAGAGAGAGAGAGAGAGAGAGAAAGAGGGAAAGAGAGATAGAAAGAGATTCTCAAGCGATTGAAATGATTAGCATTAAAAGTGTATCAATCTTATATCCATAAAAAAGATTACATGTTCTCTCGTCGAAATATAGTATTCAAATATATATCCTATAATGTTATTAATAAGTATAACATAATATAATATAATATATATATATATATATATATATATATATATATATAAATTATTAATAAAACTATATTAATAAAAATCATTTCGTATTTGAAGAGGAATGTTATTAGGAATATTATGTTTGAAATAATCTTATCTTAATCGTGCATTATAAAATAAATAAAAAAGATTAGGGTTGAATGGGAGATGTATAATATACAAGTTGTAAATTGTACTAAAGGTGGACAGATTGAATGTGGACCGAACAGTCCTCTCTTACTCTCGAGAGACAGCACGAAAGCGGGAGAAGAAAATAAACGCGTGCACTTTTACCTACATACATATATACTCCTGTGAAAACGACTATGTACGGTGGTCGCCATATGGACCATGGTGCCTGGGGGTCCAGAAGAGCGTATACCTTCATCTCTATTGCCGAATGCCGGCCAGATTTTATGGTCCTAGGTGCATACATACGTAGAGTAGAATTAGAAACGATATTCCTCCCTTCCCCTTTAAAAAGAACGATTCTCCAAAAGCGAGACGGCACGAGATAGAATGCACATGAGTCATCGATACTTTCTGCGTACAGTTTTGTTCCCAGGAAGCTTTGTCTTCTCATTTTTTTTTTTAGATATATATATATATATATATATATATATATATATATATATATATATATATAATATATATAATATACATAATAATGTATAATTTATCAATTTTTATGATATTTTAAAAATGCACATATACAAGATTGAAATCTATCAAATTCATGGGTATATTAAATTTGTATAAAATCATTTGATAACAAATATTTATATAAAACTCATTATTTTTTTTTCATATAGCATATTAATTTCTTTGTAAGTACTTCGTTTAACTTGAGGTGATTTATTTAGTTTCAAAAAATATTATATCATCACTATTTATATATATATATATATATATATATATATATATAATATATATATAATATATAAATAATATTATATATATATATTATTTATATATATAATATTATATATATGTAAAATGTAAAAAATAACATAATAATGGATATTAAATATAAACAACAGAATAGTTACTTTAAAACGGTACCTTGAAGTTAATTTTTAAACTTAGAATAGGGAAATCAAATGTATGAAAATCTAGTGTTAATATTCATATAATTTGAAAAAAAATTTATTTATCATTTTCTTTAATCTTTCTCCAATTTCTTTCTATTTCTTAATTTCTTTTCTTTTCTTTTTTATTCTTTTTTTTTTCTTACTCGCTGTTATTAAAATACCTGTAGAAATATATAAAAATACGCAGAAATAAGAACATTAAATACGAGAGACCATAGAAACCATAGAAAAGAGTAATTTTTATTGGATATTTCCATTTGCTGCTTTAAACATTTTGAATGTATTGATGTTCCATTAAAATAGAGGAAAATTTTCTATATGAAATATGGAAAAGTTATAAAAATAATATTAAAATACTAGTTCGATATTCTTCATAATCAAATAGGAAGGAAAGGAAAGAAAAAAAAGACGGGGTGAGTGAACGGGAGTACGAACAAATAGCTTCCAATCTGTTCCATCCCTTTGTCGGAAGGATCTGTGCCGCGTGTGCAAATCTACCCTCTAAAGCACCATAGCCGTTCGCCGTTCGCCGTTCGCCGCTCATACTACCCCTACACATGCCTAACACCTGAGCACAATGGAGACACGATTTGATCCCCCTATGAATCCCCTCGTTCTTTTCTTTCCACCACGCTTAAATACTGACGCGAATTCGCGTTCTCTTCTTTACATAAAGTTATCTACTATACGTACATATATACGTACATGTATATACCATAAATATAAATAGATATATACATATATGCACACCGTTTATAATACTTTTTGCATATCCTAAAATGTAGGCTAAAACTTAGAAGTCAAAATGTCACTTTATACAGATATTGTATAAAAGGCAAGGATATCTTAAAATATTTTTTTATAAACTACTTGTTAAGATAACGAAGAAAATCTTTATATAAAAAAAAAAAAAAGAAAGAAAAAACATATAACTTTATAAATAATCTACACTATATATAATCTTATAAATGTACGTTATAAAGATACTTTTAAATAAGTAGAGCGTAAAGATATTATTTGCAAATAAAATTTCTATATGAGATATCTTTTATTTTAAAAATATAAAAATATACTATATACGCGATGTTAAACCAATCAATATACATATATGTAGCTTTCATCTATTTTCATCAAATTTTTTTTTTTTTTCAAAAGTCTAGACAATAAATTCTCACGATAGATTTAACAAAAAAAATGACTCACATATCGTAAGATCTAAATTTAGTGATGAATCTATTCGGTAAGTTTAAATTTCATGAATCTATGTGGGTCTAACAAAAAGTTATTCCAAGCCAATATAACATACATACATATCTACCTTTAAATGTGCTTCTAGGTGCACACGAGTGATTCTTAACAAACATGCGGGTACCGTGCTGAGAATTCCATTCAATTTAAGCGTAATTATTTAATTGACGATCTTCACCAGCATTCTCACAGAGAAAAATGGACGTATGTATCTGTATATATATGCATACATATGTACACATATATCGTCGATCCAACTATGATACAATGAAGCTTTATAAAAGAAGTGTAACGTAAAAAATGAGTAAAAGATATCTCCGTTGTTTAATATTTCCACAGAACTTGACAAAAAATAATATGCGTGCATGTATATATGTATGTATGTATGTATATATGTATATAAAAGATGAAATAAAATATGTTATCAAAGTAGTAAACTTATATTTTTGGAAATTATCCAACTATGATACGATAAAGCTTAATAAAAAAAAATGTAACATAATATATAAGTAAAACATATCTTTGTTGATAATAAATAATAATAAAATAATATATATAATATATAATAATAACAATATATATATACATATTATATATATATATATAAATTTGCATATAAAAAAAAAAAAATCAAAAAATATCAAACTATATGATTATAATTAATTCAGTATTTCAGAAAATACATTTTTTAAAGTAAAAAAAAGTAGTGAACTTATATTTTTTGAGAACGATTACAATTTGGCTAGTTGCTCGTTGGGTAATCAATTGTTGAGACGAAAGAGTAGGTGGGGTGAAGAAGAGAGAAGAGAGAAAGAGAGAGAGTATGAGGGAGAGGAAGGGGATGCTGCCACGTGGCTCGCGAACGCTTGGACCAAAGAGAAAGAGAGAGAGAGAGAGAGAGATAAAGATAGATAGATATATATATATATAGAGAGAGAGAGAGACAGAGAAAGAGTAGAAGCAAACTAGAAAGGGGAACGATTGGCACATCGTGCATATCGCCGTGCACACCGTCGTCGTGCCCGTCGTTGGTCCATGCAAGTTACCTTTACTACGTTTACCATTCTCTATTGTGTATGACTACGATACGGGAGTACGCAGGGGAGTCTGCAAGTGAGATCGCATGAGTCATCCAAACGAAGCTTCTCTCAATAGCGTAGGCAAAATCTTCGCGAGATATTTAGAAAATAAAAGTAGGATTAATAATTTTTGTTATTTTCCATTTTTTTTTTCTTTTATTTTTTCTTTCTTTCTTCTTTTTTCCTTATCTTACCGTCCATATCTTTTTTATTTTTAATCGTTGTTCCGTTCAAAAGAATTTTTCAATTTCAATTTAATGATAATATATTAGAGTACAATTAGACAAATGACTTATAGATATAAAAGATGGCAAAGTTTTAACGTAATATTTTACCCTGATATCTAATAGTTATTAGAACATTATTAATTATGACAAATTGTGGCAAGTTTTGTATTGATTTTATATTAGAAAATATAACGTTATTGTTATTACTATGTAACTTATTGTTAAAGAGAAAAATATAAATAATATTTTAAGATTTAGAATCTTATTTAATAAGTAAAGAATACAATATTGCCTCTTTGTGTTCTTCACATTTTTACGGATTGATTATTCTTCGTCTCTCATTATTTGGTTTAGAAAAGAAAAATTGCGAATTTTTTCTATGGAGATATTACATTGTTCGTTTCTACGTCACTGTACTCTCAGTCAATGCATCAATCCGGCCTGCATCTGTATGTATTTAGACGGGGGAGAGACCCCTATGTGACATCATCCCCTTCCCTATGTACTCCTGGTTCGTTTCGCTGGGTGACTTCTGTCGCCTAACTCCAAACACCCTTGGACCCTGTTACCTCCCTTTTACCTCTAATCTTTATCAATTCAACCTATCGGCTTATCCGACAAAAGAATAGTCGAGCGTACGAATAAAGGCAGGCTTATTATGTTTCTCAAAATGTCGACATTTTTAAATGCCACACACGTTTAAAACGCTCCAAATGTGGACAGTTTAAATAACTATCTTGAAACAGTCACAATTTAATTATTATAAATAAATAAATAAATAAATATATATATATATATAAACATTCCGCTTGATTAAAAGCGTCATACTGTGTGAGACAAATTATTGATACTTAAACGCAATAATATTAAATGCTTTGATAAAAATTAATTGTGACGTACATACATATTTCACATATATATCTACGGCATATAATTATAATATTCTTATAATTATTAACATTTTATCATATTCAAACTACAAGTTGCGAAAATTATTGTTACCTTTATTATGCTCTTTTTTCTATACCTGAAGAAATAATAATCTGTCATTATTTTTCCTTTTTCTAAATTCTTTGAAAAATGAATACAATTTCCTTTTCTTGTTTTTATTATAATATAGTATTAGTCTGAAATAATTTAATAAGAAAAAGAATATGTTGTGAATAAAAAAAAAAAGACAACTTAAATAACTTACTTTTATTTAACGTATAATATAATAAATAAAATACTTAAATGAAATATTATACATAGAATACAAAGAACAAAAAACAATTTTTAAATTTAAAAATTATGATTTAGGATAAAGGTAAGCCTGATATATATATATATATATATATATATCATATATATATCAGGTTTACTCAAGGAAATATATATATATTTTATAATTATATATATATATTTTCTATATATATATAATTATATATATATTATAATTATATATATATATTTTCTATATATATATACATTATTATATATATATATATTTATATATATTTATATTTATAAATATATATATATATATATATTTTCTTGAGTGATCATTGTCGTGTTGATTATACATTCCATTACTAATAATGTAGAATTTTAGAAGACAAAGAGGCAAACGTTACATTATCATTTTCTACCTTTGTCTTACTCTAGCTTATATATCTTAAGAACTCTAGATAAAAACTTTTTGCAATTAAATTACATTAAAATATTAAATTTATATCATCTGATAAGATTATTTTTTATATTATAATAATATTTAAAAATTAATAATTGTTAATTAAAAACTAAATAAATAATTACCACTAATATCACACTACATAAAACGCAGGTACTTTTTCTACATGGTACGACACTGATCTGTATCGTGTATTGATGACACATTACAATGAGACAGAAGATGATTATTCAAAGTTTTTCTTTCTTTTTTTTTTTTTTTTTTTTTTTTTATAAAACACTTCACATTTTTATTATGAAATACGCAATCCATTTTATATTTGTCAATGTACACGTACCTAACCTAAAAGAACATGCAAAATGTTAAAATACAACTATTATATACAACATTTCAAGGTTATGATATAATTCATTTAGAGAAACTTCGTTTAAAACAAAAAGTTTTAAGACAAAAAGTTGACGATATACGTTATCACTAGCTTTTCAACATTCTTATTGGTTATTTCAAAAAGAACTTGCGTATTCTTATTATTCTTTCCTTTTTTTTACCACGTAGAAATGTACGATCAAAAAATTAAAAGCAATTAAATCAATTCTATTTTATAATTATTAAAACGCTCACGTCCATTATCTTTTTTGAATAAACAAATAAATACTGAAAAACTTTGGAAGTACTTACTTTTAAATATAAATATAAATTGAATGTATATCACATATAGAAAAAGAAAAAAAAATTATACAAACAAACGAATTAATATAATGCTAAGTTATTTCGCACTCATATTATTAGTTACATTTTGTATAAGTTCATCTCATAATAATAGTATCACAATGTTATCTCCAATTGCTTGCGATTGTCAAGTTTTAACTTTAGTAACTATTTCTAGTAATATTTAGTAAGAATGGTAATATTTGGTAACAAAAATAAATTACCCATTTTAAGATGCAGATAATTTACTTCTATTCGGAGCACGGTATTTTCTTTTTTTTTTTTTTTTTTGAATAATTATAGTAATATTTTTTTATCGAACAAAAACATATATGTATATATATATATATTCCTGCCAACTTTATAGATATTTTGGGGAATAAGAAAATATAAATATAGTAAAAAATCTTATAGTTATATGAATCGACCTATCAGGATGTCGTTAGCTAACCCCGTGATTCCTTGCGCGTTGAAGACTAGAAGAAGGCTTACCGATTGCCTGCCAAAGTTTGCTAACGAGAAAAAAGTGTAGTAGTGGCTGGTAGATATATTCTTATGATATTTTACGTATAATAGAAAGCTTGAAAATATTTTACAAACGTGAGTATTAAATTCAATTGATTATAATTCGTGCATACAAATGTGTAGTAAAAAACAACAATAATGACGTATCGATGAATCGAGACAATTCCAGGCCAATGTCAGTCTATCTATCGTGTGCGAAAATGTCTAATGCTTTCAACAAAAAAAAAAAAGAAAAATAAGAAAAAATAAAGGAAAGTATTAAAAAAAGCATCATCAAAATATTTGTCACCATTAAAGAAAATCTTTTTCGAAACATTTTTATCAATATTATTATCATTTATAGTGTTAATATATACTCGAAATAAATGGAACCTTCATTTTCTATCAATTAATACATAACCCTTTTCATGCCACAATGACAAATATAACTTTATAAACGTGATAAATGTTTAGACAATTAATGAAATATGTAAACATAGAATTATTGTTCTATTTGAATAATTTGATTTTCAATTAATATTGTTGTTTTATTTTCAAATGGATATTCGGTATGATTATTTTTACGTTAATATCACTGGTGAAATGCGCGCACGCGCGCGCACAGCATACTCTTACATGCACACACATACACACACACATACACGTGCACATGCGCGCGCGTGCGAGCGTGAATACGTTCGTATTAGCTTCGAAAAGGTGGGGAATTGCATACGAATACCTTTGTACACGGAAACTCGTACGTAACCAAGTGGCTGTGTGTACTAGTAGCGTAACGAAGAAAGTAACTTCGTTTCTTTATCTCTGTTTATCATTTCTTGATATTATATTATTTTTCAAATAATTGGAAACTGCAGAGTGAAGAAATTAAAGTAAATATTTTATTTTTTATTATCTATTCCATCTTGTTGTCAAGGAATATAGTAAATGCTTTGTATTCATATATATAAATGCGCACGCACACAAACTAATGTGCTAGTCGTGAACGCATTATTTTATATAGTATGTTTTAAAGCATTTTTATAGAACACATATAGGTGCCAATTTATTTTCATTTTGTTTAAAAGAAATAAATAAATAAATACTTTCTCTTTCTTTTTTCTTTATTTTTTTTTCTTTTTTTCTTCTTTTTTTTTTCTTTTTTTTTTTTTTTTTTTTTTTTTTTTTAAACATTAATACTACTTAATTTACCTTGAATATTGACGCATATCTGTTTCTTATATATCCTCTAATATCCATTTTTTATTAAATATGAAAGAATATATATATATATATTTATAATGATCTTTAACTCATTGATAAGTATAGAAATTTATATTTATAGATGTCAAGTGGACAAACACATAAGTATCGTTATAAAAATGTGGGCTTAGACTCACAGGAATTAAGACGACGTAGAGAAGAAGAAGGTGTGCAATTGAGAAAACAAAAACGTGAACAACAATTATCAAAAAGACGTAATGTACCTAATATTGTTACCGATGAGGATAATGTTTCCACTACAGATGAATTTTCTCTACCTACGCCACAATTAGTAAAATTTATATTTCTTTTGGTTAACTATTAAAAAAAAAAAAAAAAAAACTTTCTTGTCTATTTTAATGTTTAACTTTTATGTTGCAGCAAGGTGTTGTTATAACAAAAAAATTGGTACAAGCATTATACAGTCCTAATGTAGAAGATCAATTAGCAGCTACTCAAAAATTCAGAAAATTGTTATCCAGAGAACCAAATCCTCCTATAGACGAAGTTATACATACAGGGATAGTACCTCGATTTGTTGAATTTTTAAAAAATGATAGTAATTGTACGCTCCAGGTTTGTATATATACGAAGAATTGATTTGTATTTGTAGTAAATAATGAAAAGAAAAGTTATAAGAATCTTTTTTGTTAAACAAAAACTTACATTTTTCTCTTGGTAACAACGTTGCATATCATCCATTATAAAGAAAATTAAATTATTTTATATACATTTATGAACTTTCAAGATAAAATTAAATATTTGTAAATAAAGTTTTATAGATTTAAACGATAATAACAATATAAAATATTTAACAGTTTGAAGCAGCTTGGGCTTTGACAAATATAGCAAGTGGGACATCTCAACAAACGCGCATGGTAATAGAAACAGGAGCTGTACCTACTTTTATATCGTTACTCAGTTCTGAGTATGAAGATGTACGAGAACAAGCAGTTTGGGCATTGGGCAATATTGCAGGAGATAGTCCTGAATGTAGAGATCATGTTATTTCTTGTGGTGTCCTTACACCACTTTTACAGTATGTTCTTCTAGTGTTTATTCATTTTTTTTATTGCTTCTTCAATACTTAGACTTGCATTTGAAATTTTTGTAGTAAATAATTCTCTGAATTATTATTCAAGCATTTAAATCTTTATAATAATCAGATATAATATTCTGTACATTATATATTATTTAATAACTATCATTTTTGACGAATCTTTACATTTTCAGACTTCTTTCTAAAAATGCACATTTATCTATGACACGGAATGCTGTATGGGCGTTATCAAATCTTTGTCGTGGCAAAAATCCTGCACCTGTATTTTCAAAAGTGGCACCATCTTTACCAGTTTTAGCTCATCTTCTTAATCATTCAGATTCAGATGTTCTTGCTGATACTTGTTGGGCTTTGTCATATTTAAGCGATGGGCCAAATGATAAAATACAAGCAGTTATAGATGCTGGTGTTTGTAGGCGCCTTGTAGAACTTTTGATGTAAGTTTGTACGTAGTATTATGTTATTGATATGTGTGTGTGTGTGTGTGTGTGTATTTATAAAATATAGGCTAACAATGATAATCAAATTATAATATTACGTCAGATATTAATAAGCTAAGAAATTTTTATTCTGTGTAACTGTAATTAATATTTTTAAAATAGAATATTAGACAAATTTGTATAATATATTACATGCTTATTGGTATAGTTTTATGGGGTTTGTGTTTTGGAAGATATCAAACTGTCACAATTTGACTATCCCATTGTACACGTACATGGTATCTAGGAATTCAACAAATGTCTAGTTTTATTTTTTTTATATATAAATGTACATATACGAATAAAACAATATACATGATTATTATTTATTTAGGCGTGAGGAAAGCAATGTAGTAAGTGCAGCTCTTCGTGCTGTTGGTAATATAGTTACTGGAGATGACGTGCAAACTCAAGTTGTACTAAATTGTTCAGCGCTACCTTGTTTATTACATCTTTTGAATTCTCCACGAGAAAGCATACGTAAGGAAGCTTGTTGGACAGTTTCTAATATCACTGCTGGTAACCCTCAACAAATACAGGTGATAATCATTGTTAATAAATTATTTTATATCTCTAATTTTTGAAACTTTTAAAAATATTATTATACAAGTAAAAAGAAATGAAACGTATACATTGTTAATATTCGTTATTTGTTTCTAGGCTGTTATTGATGCTAATATTTTCCCTGTATTAATTGATATATTAGGAAAAGCCGAATTTAAAACTCGAAAAGAAGCAGCTTGGGCAATCACAAATGCTACCAGTGGTGGTACTCCTGAACAAATTCGTTATCTTGCCTCACAAAGATGTATTTCACCATTGTGCGATTTATTAACTGTTATGGATGCAAAAATTGTGCAGGTTGCATTAAACGGTTTAGAAAATATTTTACGTCTTGGAGAACAAGATGCTAGTATGCACAATGGTATTAACCCTTACGCAGTATTGATCGAAGAATGTTATGGTAACGTATCGATATAAAAACGAAAAATATTTATGCTTTATTTTATAATTTAATTGCATAATATTTATATTTATTTATAATGTTTTAGGCCTAGATAAAATAGAATTTCTTCAATCTCATCAAAATATGGACATTTATCAAAAAGCTTTTGATATTATCGATCGATACTTTGGTTCCGAGGAAGAAGATACTAGAATTGTTCCATCTATTGATTCGCAAGGACAACAATTTCAATTCACAGCACCTGATTCTTCTCAACTTCCAGTTGAAGGCTTCGAATTCTAAATGATTAATTATTGATTGAAACCTGGAATACGTGCTTCTGAATACGATGTTCCACGCTATCTTTTACGATCCTTAATCTCATGAGAAATGTAATATCTCTAAAACTGAAATACCAACTAGCTGTACGAGTTTTCTCATACATTGTATTATTACAAATGCTTTTGAGTTCGTATTCATCAAAAAATATCAATAGTACCCCCCTCTAAAAGTATTAGATTTTTCATATAACAATGAAGATGCAAAATGAATACTTATCGTAATTTTTAATGCATTTTAGTTTTACCAAATTATATGTTTCGTTAATATGTTGCATCAATTGCTTTGGCTTTTTCTATCTCTTTCTCTCTCTTTTTAAAATCTTTACTAAATTATAATAATAAAGCTTTTATTAAAGCTTTCGTGCAATACGTACTAATGGATCGATTAGTAAACTTATTCATATACTTATGCAGCGTAAAACATTCAGTTTAACAGAGATAAAAAAAAAAAAAAAAAGAAATCATAGTATTAGTGCTTAAAAAGTAAGTATGGCTTAAGCACTAAAATTGTGGTAAAGAACCGATTCAAAGAGCAGATATATACACCTTGTTATGACGTGACTGACTCAGAATTACGACACTTGCACAATTTGCAAGACACTGTACGACTGAAGTACATGACTACAGCCAATTCGGACAACATTAAACAACGTGGTACTCACCTCCTTACTATGCTAGGTAAAAATATGACCAATTAAACTTTTTTACTGTAAATACGTATCTCATAATATTAAGGCTGTTCTATACAGAGTGCCCTGATAGAGGAAAACCGTAATTACAAATCAGACAATTGTAAACAAACCGATTTACTTTTCTAAAATATTTGCAAGCAATAGAAGCATGAAATTTCAATATTTAAAGAAAAAAAATGGTCTTATATATATATATATATATATATATATATATATATATATATAAACGAATGGTTTTATATAACTTCACGTAGAATATTCATTTTCTATATATATATATATATATTTTTTTTTTTTTTTTTTTTTTCGTTCACTTTTTCTCATTTTTTGTTGTGGACAGAAGCATAGTAAGTTATTGTCTAATTGAACAGCGGCCATTCAAAGCTATAATTGGATATGGAAAAGATAAATTTTTTATTATTATCATTGTAATCAATATAAATTGTAATTTCTAATATTTAGAAAATTCGTGAGGATTGTGTATCAGTTGAGGAAGTAAATTGCATGTGTAAGGATTGCAAATTGTTTATATTACTATTGTATAGCACATTAGATTTTGGACATTCTGTATAAAAAGTCTGTGACTGTATAAACTGTATTTATTATTTAGGTTTGACGATACTATATTATATACAATTTCTATATATATTTCCTATTTTTAGTTACCGATTTGAATTATGACAGAAAACGACTGTATCATAATAAAACTCAATAGTAGAAACTTTGCTAATAAATTTCTTTAGCAAAGTATGCAACTATGAGTACTTGTTGCCAATTTATAATACACTGTAGTACATAAGTATATTCAAAAGATGTTTACCTCTTTTTTACTAACATTTTACTGCATGTAACATCTTTCGATATAGAAATTTAATTGAACACTTTATAATAATGCCAAAAAATGAATAAAACAAAAGGATTATTAAAATAAGTGTAATTTGATTTTTATAAAAAAAATTCTATGTAAAGATCAAACAAAACTTTTTGCGATATATGTATAACTCTTAAGTTTAATATTTTTGTGTAATTTATTATACTTATTGAGCTATATTGATTGGATAATACTTGTTAAATAACAAGATAAGTTTGTTTATATTTTTTTTTTTGGTTAAATATTTATATATACATTAATTCGATTTATAAACAAATTGTATACAATATGTTTACAAATCAATATTTTTCCAAAATTCGTGCAATATGATCGCAATAATAATAATTATTAATTAAATTTTTTGTATGTGCAATAATTGAAAATAATTGTAAGTAATCGATGATATTGTAAATTGGCAATGACGCCCATAAACGTACGATTTCTGACGATACTTATAACGCCGACTGCCGACTATTACGCTATAATGATAATAACGAAAATGTGGAGTGTCACATGCATGAAGTAATCCATTTTACTATACTTTAAACTCAAATAATCTTGGCCGTTATAGGCAAAATCTAGTGTTATATCAGAGGCATCTATCTCATTGTTATATTTTTTATAAGTTTGTAGAAATTATCTTGAATTATGCTTTAGATAGTTCAGTTACAAATATCGTTCTGTATCATTGTTTGGCATAACAAAATAAATTTGCATAATAATAAGGATTTCTACAGCTTTTTTCAATCCATATTATACATTTTTTATTCTTGTTTTTAATATTTAATATAAAATGATGTGCCTATAGTTCTACCATACCTTTATGAAACACTTTCAAACAGATAGTTTGCATTTTTATACAAATAATAAATATTTCATGTATAATATAATTATATATTCCATGAAAAAAAAAAGATTAGAAAAATTAAAGAAGTAAACATTCATCAATATTTTTTTCCCCTTTCATATTTGGCTCTGGTAAAATTGATATTATCGGACCATCCATGATTCGAGTAATAAGAGGATTTAAAATATCCAAATCAATAGATTTAGAAAATTTGGCAGTAAGAGATTCTTCTACAAACTTATCTTCGTTTAATTCTTCGTAACCATTCGATATAATAGTAATTATATACATGGTCTTTGAAATTAAAGGGTTTTCTTTATCACACAAACTATGCAATGTTTTAATGGCTTCAGGATTTATATCAAGCAAATCTTCTATAATCTGAAAAATATATAAATTAATTAATCTTAAGTCTTTTATATGAATTATTCAAGCAATTGTATAATACAGTGATATAATAATACTCCAGTAATCAATGAATATATAGATATGCTTATTCAAATTGAAATGTGTATAACTTTAGTTCAAACATTTCTAAACTTACCACAGCTCTTCTAATCAGAATCTCTGTTTTTAATTTATTAATGATTTTTCCTTGATCATCTCCAATATTTTTCGCATTCAATGTTAAATAATTATCACCACCTAAAGTCTTGCTACTTATGTCCCCAAACATATGCGCTAAACATTTGATTGTATTTCCTTCACTTCCAAGTAAAATAACGATAGAAACTTTCGTCGATCCATTAATAATTTCTTCTAACTGAGATGAGAATGCATTCCACATACTAAATTTTTGACTTTTAAATTTTAATTTGGCATCTGTTATTGATTTATGTAATTCATGTATCATTTTTTCTTGTTTATCATATTCCATCGATTTATTATTATAACTTTGTGATATAGGCAAACATATGTATCCAATAACAACAAATAATAGTATAAATATATAATAATATAAGTTACTATTTTTCTTATCTTCTTCATTAACTTTCTTCGTTTTAACAGGAGTATCTGGTTTAAATATTTGTGAACTAACATTATGTTTATCTCCCAATGAAGAATTACTTTTTACTGAGTGATTTACTTTTAAGGATTCATCTAATAAACTGTCGTTATCAGAATTCTCATTATCAGTATCATCATCATATGTGTTATTGACGAAATCTTTTGAATTCATTTTAATATCTTGTTTATGTACAAAAGAACTTGAATCCTTAGGCATATTGTTATTACTCTTATTTGAATTGTCAATAATTCTTATAGGTGGACGACACTTTGGTATAATTCGTTTAAGATGTCTTTCCTTATTCTGTAATTGAAATGTATAATGCTACTTAATTTCAATGAAATTAATAAATTATATACAAAGGAATCTAAATTTACAAATTCAGTGTTACTATTACTATAATATTATTATTACTATATTATTAAATTTCTTAATTTCAATGAAATTAATAAATTATGTACAAAACAATCTGGATTCATAGAGATATATTATTATTACATTATTAAATTTCTTGATGTTTCTTATAGGAGGACGACACCTTGGTATAATCAATTTATGATATTCTTCCTTAATCTGTAATTGAAACATATAATGCGACTTAATTTCAATGAAATTAATAAATTTAATTAAACAATTAAATTAATAATATAAAAAGAATTAATACAAATTGCCCTTATAATCATTTCACTTTATAGTAATCTAAATCCTCTGAGAGAAAAAAGAAAAATTAATAAATATAACAAAATTTCTAGTTTATGTATATATTTATTATTTTGTTTTAATTTACAATAACAAAGAAATTAATTTTGTTTTATTTTGATTTTATTGTACGACCAATTATATATATGTATTCCTTTCAGCATAACATGTTTAAATGATTTAATTGTAAAATTAAAAATAAGATAAAAGGTAATTAATACGCACATTGAGACTCATAACTTAGCGAAAATAATAAGAAAATTAATAATAAATGAATATATAACTCAATAATAAAAGTAACAATCAACATACACAGACACTAGTCTACGGTGAATACTAACGTATACGAAATAGAATTAAGGATCAGAAGACGGAACTTATTTATTTATAAGTTATTCCTGCTTAACGGTTGTGTATAAAAAGTGAAAACTGTCAACAAATGTGAATTTCAGCAAGTATTCTAACCTCACTATTTATACTTTGCAACATATTGATTACATTTTTAATTTACAAAACGTAAACATAATAATGATAAAGTTTAGATAATGTTTCGCTTTTTTTTTCTTTGTTTTTAATAATAATAAAAAATATATATGTATACAAAATAACATATAAAATAGTTGGATTCAATCTTTGACTTCGACATGCATATCTTTTCATTACTAGTTATTTGAACCAATTACCTTATTTATTATCAGTATTAGTTACTAATATAAACTTCATATATAGGTTATATGTTAATCCTTGTATATAAATAAAATATTTTATACTACTTTCACCACCATTTTTGGTTGATCACAATATTGTAATACACTACGTTGTATCAACTGTTCTCAAGGTCTCGAAATTAACTAAATTAGTCAAGATAGGTCAATGGTTTAGTATCAATAATATTGGTATCAACATATTGAAATTAACTAACGAGATACAGTTGTTCGTAAAAATAAAAAATTTGTAATGTGAATAAATATTTTGTATTTCTTTTGTTAAAAAACAAAAATCATACTTACATTATTATTTATTAAATATAAAATATAATTATATTATAACAGATTGTTTATACATCACGAACTTTTTCTTTAACAGACAGAGAGATAAGCAGTAAAATAATAATGTAAATGTTTTTCTTACTTTCCATTGACTCGGTCGGTAAATATAATTTTTTCTTTCTTATACCAAACTCGATCGGTAATTTACCTTAACATGCGTACTCTATATATTTTCTTTTTCGTAAAGCTATTTAATACCATTCGCGTATAGCGTATATGACTTCAGAGACAAATATGGAAAAAACATGACTTACAAGAACAATACGAAAACATTGTTTCCACTATGCGCCTATTGTATCAGCATATAAAATTGTGTAGGTTATATTCTTACGCGTAATCTACAATCGAGTAAAAACAACAAGAAAACAAATATTACATTTGGATATTTTGTTAATGGAAATCATTATAATGGAAACCAGATGCACTCCATGGTTGTAAATGGCATTAGATTTAAATAAATAAATTATTTCTGTCTTTAAATTTGTAAAGAAATTTTCTTAAAAGTATAAACTCTTAAGTGACGTATATATAATATAAGACAATGAATCGATTTGTATAGAAAAATTGTCGATGTTTATTTCATCTTTTTGATTGGGGAAAATAATTGGGTACAATGAAGTTATTAAAATAATTGCTGTTAATATTAATTAAAGTTTATCGAAACCATATCAATTATGAACCTATACTAATAAATCAACATTAAGTTAATTATTGGAATGGGATTATTCGGTGATACAAATAATAACTTTTAATGAACAATAATAATCAATTGCTTCCACTTCGTATTCTTTTCTTTTCAATGAGCTCAGTTTTTAATCATGACAAAATATATGTGAACATACAACTAATGTATTTGCCGCAATAATGAGCGTGTTAATATAAGAAAAATATCAATTTCAATCTTTCGCAAATGTTTTAACGAGTCGTCAATGTTTCGATTATTTTATTACGTACGATCATTACGCGATCTTGATTTATACATCTATTTAGTGATATATTAATATATATATGTGTATATATATATATATATTTATTTATTTATTTCTAGTTGAAACTTCTATTTTATTCTCTTAAATCGCTTATAATTCTTGTATGATTCTTCT